TCTCAATTTTAACTTTTAATGCACTAATTGTAATATAAGTAATAGAAATATTAGTAAAATATTTTAAGTAATTAATGGACCATAATTATTGCACAAATAGTAGGCCTATTTAGTACCAAAAGATCTCAAAATATTAAATATTATTGAATTAAAATATACAACACTTATTTAACTGAAAAATAGTTTAACTGTATGGTCACATTATAAGTAAGCAATACCTAAGGGTTAAGAAAACCATATTAATGTTGCCTCGCCATCACTCTCCAGAATAAAATGATACTGTAAATGTCATCGACGTAATAATCAATGCATAATATGCTGTAATGTTTACCACAAATTGCTGCAAATACCTGTATAATGAAGCTGTCGTCTATCCTACTTAAACCCATTCAAATGTATTGTCAACGCTGGTTTGTTTGGATTGTTGGTTGGCTATGAACCACGTGACCGCGCGGAGACGCCGGCGAGATCAAAGCTTGTCGCAACTCTGTTTTTCAGTGGCTCTGGCTTAAACTGAAGCGCTTCATTTTACGATTTACGCCACATTAAGTGCGCCAAAACTGTATTTATTGTTTGAATTTAGTATTAAAACTTACAAATTTTGAAAGCTGAGACTTTGTTTCGTATCACCTAAGTAGGGTTGGCAATTTGGCGTGAGATTTACATGGGCAGAGTGAGAGCGTGAGACAGAACCTGAAAGCATGTGTCTCATGCCAAATGCGTGAGAGTTGGCAACCCTGGCTTAATGAAAGGTCTGGTATGGTTAAAAAAAAAAAAAAAAAACAACCATTGGGAAGATAAATGTCAACACAAATATAATTATGTACACTTTTGAAGTCAATATAAAGGGCCCTATTTTAACGATCTGAGTGCATGGTCTAAAGCGCAAGGGGCAGGTGCACTTAGGGGTGTCCGAATCCACTTTTGCTAGTTTAACGATGGGAAAAACAATTGAATTCAATTCAAGTTTATTTGTATAGCGCTTTTCACAATACAAATCGTTGCAAAGCAGCTTTACTGGAAATTAAGTTTCTACAATGTTTAGTAGTAGCTTGTCAGTGGTGACTGTCAAATTGATGTACATATGGCAGAAATGTACAGTAAAATTCAGTTAATGACGTAAAAACAGTCGGCGCGCCCAGCGCATGGTCTAAAATGGTTGTCCCTATTCTCTTAATGAGTAATGGGTTTGTTTTGAGCATAACGTGCAATAAACCAATCAGAGTCTCATCTCCCATTCCCTTTAAGTTCCACTCGCGCCATGGAGGATTCGCAATTTACAAGGCGGAATTTGCGAGATGGTCCTCACTGCAGAACACAAGTTGTTGTGTGTAATTATGCAAGTATCATTAAAAAAAGAATACAGGTTAATAACTTTTTAAATTTCTCATTTGAAAATCCAATGTTTAATCATGTCTAAATACTTATTCAAATGAAGAACTTAAAAATAAGTAAGCTAAGCAGGAATGACCTGCAATATGCTAGATATATTTAGAATATATTAGATATATTAAGAGCCATACAGGTACCTACACTGTAAAAAATGACCGTGAATTTAACGGTAAAAGGCTGTAAAAATGCTACAGTAAAAACCTGGTTAACGGTAAATTCCCCTACTATATACGGTGAAAAACTGTATTGGACATTACATGTATTGGACATAAATTTTACGGTAGTATACCGTTTTTGGAAGTGAAAAAGGCTGTATAATTTACAGTGAATAACCGTAAATTGACATTCCCAGAATTCCCTGCGTTACATTTCAAATTTGATGTTGTTTTGTTGAAATAACTATGTTCCTTAGTTTTTTCTTATCAGTTTTGTATATTAGGGTTGTGTGTTACACCTAATGTTGTTAAACGAATGTTTATTGCATTATTTCAGTGTCATGTGTGTTACCATGATGGTGTTTAGTGTTTGTGTGAATGACACTGTGCATCTTCTATAGATGTTATTATTTAAAAGCTGCGTGTGATGGGCTTTGGTTCATCGTGTGACTTTCTCATCACCACCTGCATTTGGTGGCTATCAGTGTATTACAAAGGTACAAAACAGATTTCAGTACTTCAGTAGGTTGGTATATTAACATTATATCAGTTAATGAAATTATGGTATTTAACTGTAAATTTAAGTTAAAACCTAAAATGTTGCTACCGTATTTTTTACGGTAAAATTCCGGTAACCACAGCTGCCGTTTTTTTACCGTAAATTTTACGGAATTTTTTTTACAGTGTAGTGGGTAAACCATGGCATTACAAATGAAAATGATTTTTTTTTTCTGACCACAAAATGACTCTAATTTGCCTCTTTGCATTGGAATTTAAAACACTTTTCTCAATTTTAACTTTTAATGCACTAATTGTAATATAAGTAATAGAAATATTAGTAAAATATTTTAAGTAATTAATGGACCATAATTATTGCACAAATAGTAGGCCTATTTAGTACCAAAAGATCTCAAAATATTAAATATTATTGAATTAAAATATACAACACTTATTTAACTGAAAAATAGTTTAACTGTATGGTCACATTATAAGTAAGCAATACCTAAGGGTTAAGAAAACCATATTAATGTTGCCTCGCCATCACTCTCCAGAATAAAATGATACTGTAAATGTCATCGACGTAATAATCAATGCATAATATGCTGTAATGTTTACCACAAATTGCTGCAAATACCTGTATAATGAAGCTGTCGTCTATCCTACTTAAACCCATTCAAATGTATTGTCAACGCTGGTTTGTTTGGATTGTTGGTTGGCTATGAACCACGTGACCGCGCGGAGACGCCGGCGAGATCAAAGCTTGTCGCAACTCTGTTTTTCAGTGGCTCTGGCTTAAACTGAAGCGCTTCATTTTACGATTTACGCCACATTAAGTGCGCCAAAACTGTATTTATTGTTTGAATTTAGTATTAAAACTTACAAATTTTGAAAGCTGAGACTTTGTTTCGTATCACCTAAGTAGGGTTGGCAATTTGGCGTGAGATTTACATGGGCAGAGTGAGAGCGTGAGACAGAACCTGAAAGCATGTGTCTCATGCCAAATGCGTGAGAGTTGGCAACCCTGGCTTAATGAAAGGTCTGGTATGGTTAAAAAAAAAAAAAAAAAACAACCATTGGGAAGATAAATGTCAACACAAATATAATTATGTACACTTTTGAAGTCAATATAAAGGGCCCTATTTTAACGATCTGAGTGCATGGTCTAAAGCGCAAGGGGCAGGTGCACTTAGGGGTGTCCGAATCCACTTTTGCTAGTTTAACGATGGGAAAAACAATTGAATTCAATTCAAGTTTATTTGTATAGCGCTTTTCACAATACAAATCGTTGCAAAGCAGCTTTACTGGAAATTAAGTTTCTACAATGTTTAGTAGTAGCTTGTCAGTGGTGACTGTCAAATTGATGTACATATGGCAGAAATGTACAGTAAAATTCAGTTAATGACGTAAAAACAGTCGGCGCGCCCAGCGCATGGTCTAAAATGGTTGTCCCTATTCTCTTAATGAGTAATGGGTTTGTTTTGAGCATAACGTGCAATAAACCAATCAGAGTCTCATCTCCCATTCCCTTTAAGTTCCACTCGCGCCATGGAGGATTCGCAATTTACAAGGCGGAATTTGCGAGATGGTCCTCACTGCAGAACACAAGATCCAGGGGGCGTGGTTGGATCCAGATCCAACTCATCCCACATTACATTACCGTCTCCACCCCCTGATCCCTAAACCCACCCATCTCCACACCTAAACCTACCAATCTCCACCCCCTAGATGTGGATCCAACCACGCCCTCTGGATCTTGTGTTCTGCAGTGAGGGGCTACTGGAATTTGCAAGCGCAAAGACTAAACGTGTCTCCAGAGAGGAAACAGAGCTGCTCGTTCACGTTAATATTTTGCATGTTTGTGTGCTGCTGCACGCCCCTGTGTGTGTAATTAAACAGAGTATACGTGTGTTGTGGACCCGCCTATAGGCACATATTACTAACGCGCTCTTTAAATAACAAAAAGTTACTGCGTCATTGACTTTAGACCAGGTTTTAGTTGGTCAATGGCGCAGTCTATTTCAGTTGCATCCAAATAGCAACGTGCCAACAGTGCTCCTGAACGCAAGCCCATGAGCGCACAATTGGGTGCAAATGCATTTGCTATTTAAACAAGGTGGCGCAGGACGTGAAAATGATAACCGCGTCGGGCTGAAACTAGCAAAAAACACTGGTGTCGCACCTGGTGCCGCATTGTGCCGGGTGTATGATAGGGCCCTAAATCAATATTGACCATATTGTTAGTGTCGATCGCCTTGTGGGCGGTATGGTACTTTCTGAACTCCTGTTCCCCTTTCTTTCCCACACTGAATGATTCAACAATGTTTTATTTGAGTGATTCATCAGTGTACATTATTCCAAAAGGAAACTGTCTGTCTTTTATCAAAATGTAACAACTTGTTCTGCCTTTAGTCCCATCTTAGTAAAATGTGAGGGTAGTTTCATGTCGATGAGCAAAGAGCCATAATGACGGTGCCATGCGGAGCAGGTCATGGCCAGTTTCATTAGCCATAATGACACATTCCCTTGAGGAGAGGAAACAGCCAGTCAGTTGACTCACACACTTCAGTCACATTTAAACAGCATTTAAACGCTGGAACAGCGCTTGGCTGAACGGGAACAAATGGGTGTATAATAATAGATGACTTTATATAGAACAAATTAAAGGAATTGCATTTTGGCTTAGAACCGTTTCAAGCAGCTTAAAACCTGTTTGTGCTGAGTTTTGTGTTTTGTTTTGATTCTTTCCATTGAAGTTGTTGAGTTTGGGTTAAATACTTGTGGGCATTTGGGCTGTTTTGCATAGTCACACAGCATGCATTTATTATAAAGGTTGTGTCTAATCTTCAGACAAAGGTTTATGTAAGAATGTTGAGGTGAAACCAAATATGAAAGACCTAAAGGATTTTAATTTCATGTTTTACCCATGTTCTGTCCATCTGTATTTGTCCTCAGGAGTCGGAACTCATCTGGCTCTCCTCGTCCACGCTCTGTGAAGAAAGTCCACTTTATTAAGAACATGAGGCAGTACGACACCAGGGGCAGCAGGTGTGTTTATTCACTTCTCCATGGGTGTGTGGGTTTTGGGGTTGTTAATACCAGTGATAACAGCCCACTGTATGTGTGTTTGTGTCTGTCGGTCTGTCTTTTCCCATGCTAGTTATGTTTGCCCCTCTCTGTGCTTCAAAACAAACAATCTGGCTCTCGTCATCATTCTTTTCTCAGTTTGGCAATGATCCGTTACAATTACTTTATGCAGTGCTCTTGTATGATTCATGTGAGGATATCATATCTCTGACAGTTTGTACACAAATACTGAAGACACATTTCCTATTTTCATAACTAATTTGTTAAAGGGGCCATATTTTTAAAATGTAAAAAAAAAAAAATATTTTGTGCAATAAACGAGTTTGATGTGCTATGAAAAAGAAGAACAGCAGAAGTAGATACTATTATTCCAGTTTATATACAGTGCCGTGAAAAGGTTTTTGTCCCCCTCCTGTTTTTAAATTTTTTTCATATTTGTCAGACATAAAAGATTCAGATCATCAAACTAATTTTAATATTACACAAAGAAAATGCAAGTAAATACAAAATGCAGTTTTTAAATGATGATTTCATTTAAAAAATGAAAAAAGCTGTCCAAACCTACCTGGCCCTACGTGAAAAATTAATTGCCCCCTCCTGTTAAATCATGAACGGACTGTGATTATCCACATTATTTTAGAAAGCCGAGTTAAATTTCACTAGCCACACCCAGGCCTGATTACTGTCAGACCTGTTGAATCAAGAAATCACTTAAATAGAACCTGTCTGACAAAGTGAAGCATGCTTAAAGAGCAACACATCATGCCGCGATCTAAAGAAATTCAAGAACGGATGAGAAACAAAATAGTTGACATGTATCAGTCTGGAAAGGATTCTCAAGCCATTTCTAAGGCTTTGGGACTCCAGCGAACCATGGTCAGAGCCATTATCCTCAAATGGAGAAAACTTGGAACAGTGGTGAACCCTCCCAGGAGTGGCCGGCCTACCAAAATTACTCCAAGAGCACAACGACGACTCATCCAAGAGGTCATAAAAACCCAGAACAACATCTAAAGAACTGCAGGCCTCACTTGCCTCAGTTAAGCTCAGTGTTCATGATTCAACAATAAGAAAGAGACTGGGCAAAAACGGCATCCATGGGAGAGTTCCAAGGCAAAAGCCACTGCAGTACTGACCAAAAAGAACGCAAAGGCTCGTTTCACATTTGGCAAAAAATATCTGTCATCCACCTGGATGGCTTCCGTGTACGACAGTCAGTGGAAGTGAGAAAAAACTGTTTATTACATTTGAAATATGGATATTTATCTTACAAAAACACATTGATTCACTACAGGAGGCCTTTATTCACCCCCCGGAGCCGGACTTTTTTCACGTCTTCTGAACTGTTGACAACAAACACCCACTTACCCCCATTGTAATGCTTGGAGGGGCCAGAACAATTTTTTTATATAACTCCGACTGGATTCGTCTAAAAGAAGAAAGTCACATGCACCTAGGATGCTTCGAGAGTGAGTAAAACACAGGTTAATTTTCATTTTTGGGTGAACTAACCCGCACACTCTGAGCTTTTTGAGGGTATTCTCATCAAAATTGGAGGAAAGGTTAAGGAATCAACCTGGTACAGGTTAAGATCAACCTGTACCAGAATGACGGGAAGAAAAAAGTATGGAGAAGGCTTGGAACAGCTCATGATCCAAAGCATACAACATCATCTGTGAAACATGGTGGAGTAGTGTGATGGCATGAGCATGCGTGGCTTCCAGTGGCACTGGATTACTGGTGTTTATTGATGACGTGACCGAAGACAGAAGCAGATGGATGAATTCTGAATGTACAGGGATATACTGTCTGCCCAGATTCAGTCAAATAGAGCAAAATTGATTGGATCGCGCTTCATAGTACAAATGGACGATGACCCAAAACATACAGCAAAAGCAACCCAGGAGTTTTTGAAGGTAAAAAAGTGGAATGTTCTGCAATGGCCAAGTCAGTCTCCTGATTTCAACCCAACTGAGCATGCATTTCACTTGCTGAAGACAAAACTAGAGGCAGAAAGACCCACAAACAAACAACAACTGAAGTCAGCTGCAGTAAAGGCCTGGCAAAGCATCACAAAGGAGAAAACCCAGTCTCTGGTGATGTCCATGAGATCCAGATTTAAGGCACTCATTGCCTGCAAAGATTCTCAACAAAATATTAAAAATGAACATTTTATTTATGATTCTATTTATTTGTCCAATTACATTTGAGCCCCTGAAGGGGGGGGGGGGGGACTGTGTATAAAACGGTTGTAATTCCTAAGCATTTAATATTTTTGTTTAGCCTCTTGAATTAAAGCTTAAAGGGGTCATATGATCCTTTCTCTTTGGAGAATTACAATTACTCTTGGTGCATAAAGAAGATCTGTAAAGTTGCAAACACTAAAGTCTCAAAACCAAAGAGATATTCTTTATAAAAGTTAAGAGTCAACCACGCCTACCTAAAACGGCTCGTTCTAACACGCCGCCACATACCTATGTTACGTTCTGGGAAGATTTGCATAACGCCGCCCAAATGTTCACGCAAAGAAAGAAGGCGTAACTTTTATTCTCGCTGTAGTATTGTTGTTGCCGCTGCCATGTCGGGAAGGCACTGTGTGATTTGTTGTGAAAGTGAAACTACTTTGTTTGGTCTTCCAAAAGAGGACGATATCCGCTTCGTCATGCCTAGAGCTGATCCGTGCTGGTCGCTGAGGAAATACATCAACTTTCACCGTGGACAAAGCGGAGTCCAGCCCGCCTCAGCTCACTCTATCCCGGCCTCAGTGCACGCTAAGCCGGGGCTTCCCCTCACGCTAGGCCACTGTGTTTTTCGTTGCCACTGATGATTCAAACGCGAGTTTTGGGCAGTAGAGTAGCACTTGTTATTTGTCATTTCTCCGATCACAAATGCAGACAGAGTTTTATGTTTACGCGGCGCGATGCAACGCAATGCGTAAAAAGACAGTATAAGTCATTATAATCAGTAATTATGTCCCCACTGGATGCAACAAATGCCTCGTTTATAATGGGTTTTAATGTTTGTCTCATCGCTCCGGCCGGACACAGCATCAACAGTATGTGAGGGGCGTAACATTTCTGTCATACGCTTGAGGTATTCGGCCAGTCATAACGCACTGGATAGCTGGCCAATCACAGCACACCTCACTTTTCAGACCGATGAGTTTTGTAAAAATCGACGCGTTTCAAAAAAGCGGGGCATAGAGGAGAAACAATAATGTACAGTGTGTGGAAAATAATGTGTTTTTTGAACTTTTTTTTTAACACTTTGGTGTAAAAATTTCATTACACCAAATACACAAAATAATGTTCTTTTTAGCAGCATCACATGACCCCTTTAAAGTCTGCACTTCAATTTCATCTTCATCTTGTTTCATTTTAATTCTATTCTGGTGGCATACAGAGCCAAAATTATGAAAATTGTGTCTGGCCTAATATATATGGACCTAACAGTATATTCAAATAGAAAACATTTATTTTAAATTGTAATAATATTTCACAATATTAATGTATTGTTTTTATCAAATAAACTCAGCTTTGCTTAATTTTCATCTGATCTTAACCGTTTCAGCAGCACATTTTGATGCCAATTGTTTTATAAACTCCGCTCATGTTTTACTGAAGAATGCCAACTACATTGAACCCCAAAATAGGATATGAACCCTATGTTACAAAATTTGAATTTCAGTTATCGGACTTTACATAACATTATAATCGGATATTATAACAAGTTTTGGCATAGTACACTCAACCTAAGGAATGACTGGATGGGATTTTTGTTGTTCTCTTAAGGAAGTGGCTGTCCTCTGTGAGATCTGGCCTCATTCCATCTGAGGAACGACTGCTATGTTTACTAAAATCCCATTATAAATTGCCCCAAATAGACAGCGGTCCATATTTTCCGCTTGTGTTCCCAGGCTTTGGGTTTTCACACACAAATCAGCACGTACCTACTTGCATTCACAGGGTCACAGACAGGATTGGGGGCAGGCGAATAAAACCGATAAGATATTTTCCACTGGATGATCACAGATCCAGATAAGCCTGGTGCTCAGTGGCCTCATCTATAGAACAAATGCAGATACTCAGTATAAAAAAAAAAAAAAGAAAAAAATTGTAGGCTAATACTGTTGCCTATAGGAAACAATGGGGCACTGTTGCAGAATTCACCATAATATCCAGTCAGATAACTGAAATTAAACATTTGTAATTTAAGAGGTCATATCTTATTTTTTGGTTCAATATAGTTTAATATAGCATTTTTCAATAAAACCTGTTTAAAATGTAATAAACAATCTGAAAATCACCTTGACATAGCAGCCACTGATAAACTACTCCTAATTGTAATGTGGAAACTTTCATTTTCTTTTAAGCTAATTTGCAATGATACAAATAAACATGAATTGAATGAAATTGAAAAGCTGAATCCCCCATTGGGTAGTGGTTTTCTTAATGGAGACACTTCATTTGTGAATGAAAAATTATGGTTGTTAAAATCTATTAATTCCAAAATTGATACCGGAGATAGAAATGGAAATCGATCCCAGAAATCTCTAGAAAATGATTCCGTTAATTGCCCTGACTCGTGCTCACTGTTATTTCTGGAGCCATTTCTCCACTGTCATGTGACTTATGACGAAGAAAGAGTAAGAAAAATCCTCTAGGCTGCTGCGACCGACACTCAGTTTCATGTTAACTGCCATTTTACCACCCTTTCACATCTCTATGATGCAGTTTTTTTTAATTCTAAAAATGCAGAACATTTCCTGTGAGGGGTAGGTTTAGGTGGAGGGTTGGTGTAGGGCAATAGAATATACGGTCTGTACAGTAGAGAAACCATTACGCCTATGAAGAGTCCCCACAATGATAGCGAACCAGACGTGTGTGTGTGTGTGTGTGTGTGTGTGTGTGTGTGTGTGTGTGTGTGTGTGTGTGTGTGTGCGTGCATCTGCGTGTTGATGAGGCAGCAGTGTATTTTAAAGGCTGCCCTATTTGACCCCTCTTGTGTCACAGGTGTTGTGTTTGTTCTTGATCTGAATGTACTGAGAGATTAGTGTGTAATTTGTGTTATGGAGTTTTGAGTTGGCCTGTGTATATATGTGTGTCTGTGTGGAGAAAGTGTTTGTAATGTTAACTAGTTTGTGTTCACCACTGCAGGATCGTGCTTATCTGCGCCAAAAGGTCTTTGTGTGCCGCCTTCTCTGTGCTGCCTTATGGAGAGAGCTTCCATATCAGGTATGCATGAAACAAACATGAAAATCTGCTTATTTACTTCAAAGCTCAGATTTGGTTATACAGTAGGCCTATAGTGTGGTGCTAAGCTGTGGAGATTCACACAGTCACGCTTAATGAAGCTATGTCTCTCAAAAGTTTTGACTTTGTCACCAGGAAGGGTTGTGGTTTGCCCTTTAGCCAGTCTGTTTGATTCAAACTTTTTATTTAATGAATCAGCCAAAAAGACTCAAGCTAATAATCAGTATAATCAGGTCAAAGAATCAGTCTCACTCACACACTTACTGAATCAGTTGTAACAGTTCTTGACTAACTCACTGTATTACTTTTTAGCAACTCAAAATGAACCAAGAACTGTCTGTGTGATGGATAATAATGGCAAGACTTGAATGGTTAAATTACTGACTGTCTATTCATAAAACAATTTATAGTTACAGTTTTTCAGTATAGATTTATCCAGATCTGTGCCTGCTTAATTAACTAACATAATAAAACACAATAAAAACATAACTCTATAGCAATAACATTTCATACATGCGCATATATATATATATATGTGTATATATATATGTGTATATGTATACACAGCCACATTTTTTTATTTAGGTTTTTTTAATACATGCCCTACTTTGTTCATCTTTAGAATGCGCATCAAAGACTGACACGGAAGAGAATAATTTTTTTGAATAAAGTTGTTATTTTTGTTTTCTTGCGAATATATATATATATATATATATATGTGTGTGTGTATATATGTATACACAGCCACATTTTTTTATTTAGGTTTTTTTAATACATGCCCTACTTTGTTCATCTTTAGAATGCGCATCAAAGACTGACACGGAAGAGAATAATTTTTTGAATAAAGTTGTTATTTTTGTTTTCTTGCGAACAAAAAAATATTCTTGTGGCTTCATAACATTACAGTTGAACCACTGGTGTCACATGGAGGGTCAGAAAGCTCTCGGATTTCATCAAAAATATTTTAATTTGTGTTCTGAAGATGAACAAAAGTCTTATGGGTTTGGAACGACATGAGAGGGAGTAATTAATGACAGAATTTTCATTTTTGGGGGAACTAACCCTTTAAGTCTTTCCTTAGTATATTTGTATATTTCTTTATATAGTTAGCAACGGTTATTCACCTAGTGGCGACTGGGTTCGAATAATACTATCCAAAACTGTACTAACATAAGAGAATCGATGAAATCATTAAGGTTGGAGAATTCAGAATTAGAATTGAGATTCCCATTCCTAGCTGTCATTTCCATGACTTGTCTTTACATGTTTTCCTCAATCTCAAATAGACAAATGCACACAAGGAGATATGTTGAGCTGAATATAAGTTCTGTTTGGTTCCTCTGCTCTCCTCAGGGGATTCATATCTAGGGTGAGATTCAGGGCAAATGGGACCGGAAGGAATTTTTCCCACATCCATGTAATGGGCCTGGCATGACACGGCCAAAAGCCTCCTCTCCTTTCCCACCCTCTTTCATTATGGTTTCATAAAATGCTGATATAAGAAATTGGACCATGGGAAACTTTGTCTATTAGGTCACTTTTTTTTAAAAAAGAGAAGAAATTAAACTGCCATGCTATGCAAGCGGTCTAAGACTGTAGATAAGGGCTGCTAGAGGGAGTGAATATATATGTGTGTGTTCAGTCAGTGCTTAAAGAGCAGCTCTGTATCCAACACACTCAGCTACTTCTGTCTGGAAGGAAAAGCAAAAGATTGGAACAGTTTGAATTTGAAGCTGTCTATATTAGGTGAGTTAGACTTGTGTGTGTGTGTGTGTTGAATTGGCTCTGTGTTTGAACTTGTTTTCAAGTCCGTAAAGAGCTGTCTGCTGCTCTTTCAACCAAGCAACATTAAATTTAATGAGCTAACATGTCTTTTTGTCTTGTTTCGGGGTGGGAAATATTGCAAGGCTCATCTCAAGGGCTTTTATTTTAAATAGCCAACAGATTTTAGTGTATGTCGCAGTTAGTCGGAAGTAGGTGGTATTAGGAGGAAAGACATTCTTACAGAGCATTTGATTGGACAATTTTGTGAGTACAAGATGAGTCATCAATATTTTAGGGCTGTTTTCTCAGAAAAGAAAAAAGGGACATTTTAAATTCACATATCAACTAAAATAAAGGATTTTAATCAATGATATCAGTAACAACTTTACTTAAAGCCTTTATGTATAATGCATTATAAAAGTAGTTTTAATGCATTAATTATGCCTTGCAATGCACCTTTATAATGCATTGTACAATCTCATGAATAATTGTAACCAGTTAATACATTATAACACTTATCAATTAATTGTTACACTACACATTTTAAATTCGGTTATAATTATTTAGGCAAGTTATAATGTATTACAATGCACATTATGAATAATTATAATGCATTATACCCCTTTATAATGCATTATACATAAAGGCTTTAAGTAAAGTGTTACCATGATATCAAACACACAGATGATCTCCGAGCAGTTAAACATAGACATAAAGCCACAAAACTCCAATTTGATACACTTTTTGTATGCAAACACTTTGCAGCACTTAAATATTTATAAAACTACATGAGAGTGAGTAAATGATGACAGAATTTAAATTTTTGCGTGGACTATCCCTTTAAATTATCGAAAATATTAACTTAAAATCTCAGGGTATACTTCAAATACTACTTTAGGTCAAAGGGGATCGGCTGACAAACAAGTTTGGGCATCCCTGTTCTTAATTTTGGATTTAAGCAATGAAAACAAGCATCTGTCAATCTGTCTTTGTGTCAGTGACCCTCGTCTGGATGCTCAGCGGCGGAGGCACTCATCTGGAGGAATGTCCACAACCCTAGAGATGCTTCCCGGGCTGGAGGGGGTGGAGCTGGACATGTACGGCAGGGTAAGAGCTTGTCATTCTATCCCTGCACCTGTCAATCAGTCAGTCAGGAAATGTCACCGAGCATTGTGCTCAGCGTACCATTGGACCTGCTCAGGAATGACAGCTTTATATCTCTTCATTTGATGCACCCAGAAGGTTAAAGGCGCTGTCAGGATTTCTCCGGCTGACAGATGGCTTGTTATGATCTTATTTGTTGTGCAGACGGTGTCGTACGCTCAGTTCCTGTACCCCACTAACGCTCTGGACCACCACAAACCTGCAGTGGATCTCGCTCTACCCATGCCGTATTCCAGAAACAGCATCCCTTGCAGTTATCCTCCCTCTCGCCTCAACAGCACCGTCGGCCTGGACCTGGGTATATCTCACACACTAACACACATAGACTTGTGAGGACCTCCTATAGGCATGTATTGTCCTCAAATTAGCTGAATATCTGTAGACTAACTCTAGACCTACTCTATACATACACTTTCTTGGTCTTATTTGGTATTACTTGACCAATTTAGATACGTTTATATACAGTAACTTTCAAAAGTTTGTTTTTACTGAGCAAGGATGCTTTACATTGATCAAATGTTACAGTAAAGACATATATAATGGTTCCAAAGATTGCGGTTTCAAATAATTGTTGTTATTTTCCTTCTATTCATAAAAGAAGCAGCACGACTGTTTTTAACATTGATAATAATAAGAAATGTTTCTTGAGCAACAAATCATCATATTAGAATAATTTCTGAAAAATCATGTGACGCTGGAGACTATATCAATTATTTTATTTTTTTTTGGAATATGACGTTCTTTCAATCAAACCACGTAACACTGCTGCTCAGCTATTCACAGATGTGTGTTGGTGTTTTGGGATGTTTAATGTAGCCCAGTTTGGTCTTGTTTCTTGTTTTTAGACATTAATTTACCCATCAGACACACATGTAGAGATGAATGGCTATCTGTGTGATTAAACCTCTGTGCTGAAAGCAGGGTGGTCTGACCTACAGACACGGATAAACATAACTTATCCAGCTGACGTCATTACTGACCACTGGATAATACTGCTTATACACATGTACACTGTAAAAAGTTTTTATTGCTGATTATCTTACTGATGTAGATTCTCAGTATTTACTGTCATTCTCTTTGTCCCTCCAACAGACAACAGTAATAGAGTATGTCAAACCGTCAGATCTGAAGAAGGACATGAATGAGACCTTTAAGGAAAAATTCCCCCACATCAAACTCACACTGAGCAAAATCAGAAGGTACACTCACATTTTAAATGTTTTCTTCAGTAACTGTTTACATACACAAAAATATGACCATATTCTGATTAACATAGGAATATTCCTATGTATGTAATAACCAGATTAAACCAAATAAATTTCAAAAGAGAGCTTAAACCCTAATGAATACGAACTGAATAAAGTAAAAAGTTACATTTTAAATGGATAGTTAACCCAAAAATGAAAATATTGTCATTAATTACTCGCCCTCATGTCTTTCCAAACCTGTAAGATAGGGGTGTAACGATTCACTCGTTTTCTCAATGCATCGATTACAAACCCTGACGATACATATGCATCGATCTTAAAACATGGATTTTTGAATCGGGAATCACTGATTTCGGCTAGTAATCGCGTAACTATATACTATAATTATTATAGCGATTAATTATTATAGCTATAATTTCTATAGCGATTCAATGCTATATATACACATTAAATTACTACAAGCACGAATTAATGGAGACCTTGAACCGTGTTGTTCGTGCCCTTACATCTCCTTCACGCGCTCCACTATTTACCGCCTGTCACAGGATTGCGCTTATGGAGGACGAAACCTGCAAAAACAATAAATAAATAAATAAATAAATGTGTGCATAAATACATGTATTCTTGTTTAAATACATAACTAATTAAACGTGATGAAAGTAGGCAAATAAAATAAATTGGTGGGCAAATGGAAAATGTTTAAGGAAATGCTAAAATCATCCTAACTATTTTCCTTTGATCACTCATTTATTTCTGAATGAAGTTCCACTTTTTTTTTTCTTCCCTCTGCGCAACATGCTAATGAGAGGGTGTCAATTATGCAAGAGTAGGCGGATCGTATGTGATGCGCTTGAGCGTTTGCCTGCGCATGCGTATTAACTTCATCAGTCAAGGGGACTGATTATTATCTTACACTTTTTCATAGGGTTAGTTTTGTAGTTATAAACATGAGACAGCTAAATCATAAAAGATTTTAAGTGGCCAGTGTAAAATATGAATGCTTACATAGCTCTTAATTGCAATTCTGAACCGTTATTTGTTTAATAAACATACTTTTGTCACTTGTATTTTCTGTTCTGATAACTAATGGGGAAAAAACGGTCTGTTCCTCGATTAAACCACTTCATACCAGTTCTCAATGATGTATATGAGCCTCTGTTTGTACAATAATAAATTGAGAATCAACTGAGACGTACCCTTGTGTATGTCACTAATGGTTCTCCCGCCGTAAAGAGAGAGAGATTGCTGCAGATCGACTTGGTTATAGAAGACTGTTTACTGACCATAAAAATTCTTACATGTACCTAAACAACGAGCAGGTAAAACCATCCTAATAAACACTAGCTGTCATCAAAAGAGCGAGCCCTTATTCCACGGATAAAGTGAATAATCTCACGATGACCATGGGATACTGATATTAGTTGTCTGTAGCTGGGAGACTCAATCAGGTTACAAAAAAATTACGTCAGGAAACGACACTGGCCATTTCGTTGGGTCGTTTGTAAAGTCACAGATACTGTACGGTCAATACAGCTCAGTTTTTTTATGTATCTTGTTCTGTTGAATGGAAAAAGTGACTTTACGTTGGCCATGCTGGATTAACACCATGCATTTCCTGTCAGCGGGAAAGGATAGTTTTCCCCATGCCGTGCCCCCAGCTATCACATGACCCTGACCAAGTCCATGGTTGACACCCTCTCATTAGCATGTTGCGCAGAGGAAAAATAAATGTGGAACTACATTCAGAAATAAATGAGTGATCAAAGGAAAATAAATAGGATGAGTTTAGCATTTCCTTACAAATTTTCCATTTGCCCACCAATTTATTTTATTTATTTACCTACTTTAATGACGTTTAATTATTTCTATATGTATTTAAACGAATTCCCATATTTATACACACATTTATTTATTTATTTGCATATTTATTTATTTATTTGTGTATTTATTGTTTTTGCAGGTCTCGTACTCCATATGCGCTCGCGCTCCGTTCGTAGCTCTCACTGACACTTTTTTTTATTATATTATTATTATTTTTTTTTTAAACCAGCTTCTCGGTCAAACAATATAAGTGTCTAAACGCATACGCATAGTTCCACTGAATGATAAAGGACTTTTAACGTAATGTCGTTAAACCGAATGTACGAAGGAAACCGTTAAAATAACCACAGCATTAACAACAACATTGAAATAAGAGTGTGTTTTTTATATGTCAATCAGATTCATGAAAGTTGCGTTCATTGCTATAGCAAACAGACATCTGGCGCATTTTCTTTCTGAATCATCATTCGCCGATAGAAAGGGAAAGTTAAATACTGTAGCATTTTATTTTATGAAAATATAAAGAAACTCGCATCATGCAAAGGTGAGACAACAAAATGTTACCCTATACATTTACACTATGCTGCATAATAGTTAACACAAACTTTTAAAGCCTTTTTTATTATTATTATTATCTTGACTTGCATACCCTAGCGAAAATAAATATACTAAAATGTATTTGAAATAAATTTATTTCATGCTAAGAATACTACAAATAAAATTACATATGTATGTAGGCTACTTAATAAAAATACCCAGCAACTGTACTTTTAGGCCCAGTTTCAAAGAAGCCAGGACTAGACCTTTTTTTAGGCCAGCTTTTATAAAGTTGAGACGGCTCAAACATGCATTTTAGTCAGGACTAGCCTTAAGCCTTGTCTGCGAAACCAGGTTATACTAAATTGGTATACTTAAAGTCTGCTCAATTGGAACAACTAATTTTGAACTTAATCCACTTTAACTGTGAGAAAGTAGTGCTAAAGTCAAATTAAAGATATATTGAAGTATATTTGATTGTGCTAAAGTGGAACTATTGCAAGTATGCTTCAGGTACACTTTAAATATCTTGCATTTAAAGAACGATATTATTCAAAGATCATATCATTCTCATCAATAGTGACATTAAAACACATTTTAGACTTAATATTTAGAAATGTGCATTGTGCACAAGTAGTATTCCAAGTAAAGTTGAATTATAATTTTTATATCAGTAACTCTCGAGCGATTTATACCACTAAATATAGTAATAGATTTTAACTATACTTAGTTTGAAATAAATGTATTTATATGACTTTTTTACTAGTGTAAATTCATATGCCATAGCATCATTAAACTAACGTCTAACAACGGACAAAAGTGGATATTTTTTGCCCTCACTCTCTGACTCCATAAAGGCTGCCGTGTAATTTGCCCCTTAAGCATATGAAGAATTTAGGGGAAGCATTTAAATAATCCTGTGAATGCACTTAAAGAATGCAGAATAGAGTCGTTAATCGAATCGTATTGAATGTAATTGTGAATCGAATCGAATTGAATCGTTTTGAATTTGCAAAAATCGTTCTTGAATCGTATCGAAACCCTATGAATCGAATCGATTCGCTGTTTACCCAAAGATTCACAGCTCTGCTGTAAGACCTTCATTCATCTTCTGAACACAAATTAAGATATTTTTGATGAAATCCGAGAGCTTTCTGATCCTGCATAGAGAGCAAGGGTACTACCACGTTCAAGGCCCAGAAAGGTAGTAAGGACATCATTAAAATAGTCTGTGACATCAGTTGTTCAACTGTAATTTATGAACCTACGAAAATACTTTTTGTACGCAAAGAAAACTAAAATAATGACTTTATTCAACTATTTCTTAATTTGTGTTCTGAAGATGAACAAAGGTCTTACGGGTTTGGAACGACATGAGGGGGTGAGTAACTAAGGACAGAATTTTACTGGTGAACTAACCCTTTAAAAGTTCAAAAATGTTCTTCTTTTGCCGTCTGTTCTCTTTATGTCTGCCAACATCTGTCATTCCGTCTCTTCATCAGTTTGAAGAGGGAAATCCATTCAGTAGGAGAGGAGTCTTCCTTGCAGCCGGTCACCATAGCCATGGCATTTGTGTACTTTGAGAAGCTGGTCCTACAGGGGCGTCTCAACAAGCAGAACAGGAAGCTGGTGGCGGCCGCGTGCATTCTACTCGCCGCCAAGATCAGCAGCGACCTGAAGAAACAAGAGGTCAAGCAACTGATCGACGTGAGTGATGCTCCGACACACACTTTCCAGTCAACACATACACTGCAGTTCAAAAGTTTGCCAAATGCACCAAGGCTGCATTTATTTAATGAAAAATACAGTCAAAACTAATATTGTGAAACATTTTTACAATTTAATATCACTGTTTTGTTTTTGAATGTATTTTTAAATAGAAGTTATTCATATGATGCAAAGCTATATTTTCAGCATCATTACTCCAGTCTTCAGTGTCACATGATTCTTCAGAAATCCTTCTAATATGCTGATTTGCTGCTCAAGAAACGTTTCTGATTATCAATGTAGAGAACAGCTGTGCTGCTTAATCTTTTTGTGGATTCTTTAACGAATGTAAGATTCAAAAGAGGAACATTTATTTGAAATTATACATCTTTTGTAACATTATAAATGTCTTTATGGTCACGTTTGATCAATTAAGTGCCTCTGCTGAATAAAGGTATACATTTCTTTCAACAAAAAGCACAGTGTTTGTATATCTATCTATCTATTTCTAATGTATATCTATCTGTTTTTTTTCTGCCCAAAGAAACTAGAGGAGAGGTTCCGGATTAGCCGTCGAGAGCTGATTGCTTTAGAGTTCACTATCTTGGTGGCTCTGGAAATGGCACTTTACCTACCGGAGAGTAAAGTCATGCCCCACTACCGCAGACTGGTGCAGCAGACCTGACGTGGGTAGAGCGGAGGGCTCAGGAACGTTGTGAATATTCAGATGAGATGCGTAACGCAGTCAAAAGTGTGGGACTCTGCGTTCCCTCCATTGCAGTTTGAGGTAACGGAGCGAATACATATCAACACGAAGCTCTGAGGAAGAACCGACGTTCCAAATGATGCTTTATATAGCAATCTGGCAAGCGGCTTTTCTTTTCATGGCTGTCTGTTTTTGTGACCACCATGGGAATACTGCTGAGGAAAACCGCACGGATCTTCTTTTATTGAATTGAGTTAAAACCGAAGGTTTTAAGACTCAAATGACAAGGGAGAAGCTTTAACTCCTGCCACTTCACTTGTGTGCATGCATGTTTGTAACATTCCGTATCTATTTACCATAAATAACTTTTATTTTAGACCTCTACTTTTGTATAGAACAACCTACCATTCACTGTATCACTAAAGCACTTTAAAGCAAACAAAAAACAACAACAACTGTGCATGTAAACATTATGCAATAATAATATAGTCATTAGCACAGATCACATAATATACTGTATATGCACTTACTTTAGTGTTATTGAGTAACTGACTAAATTTACCTTAGTATTCAGACCTAATATGTTCACTGTCGTTGATAAGGCTTGATTATACTGTGAAGAGTGCTCTATATTAGAGCTGATTTCAAGGAAAGCACATTTTCAGTGCGGCCGGTATTCTCACTTTTTCTTTTTTTATAGAATTTTTAAAAAAAATCCTCTTTTAAATTCCGCAGAAGAAAGTCATGATGCAAATGTGTAAAAGATGACAGGTTTTTTATTTTTAGGTGAACTATTCTTATAAGACACATGGTATTAATGTATGTGCACACTTCCATGCAAAAGTTTTATTTTATTTTTTTCCCCTTTTTTTAATTTTTTAATTTTTTTAAAGAAATTTCTACTGTTATTCAACAAGGTTGCGTTCAATTGATTAAAAGTGACAAAAATCATTTGTAAAATTGTTCATGTCTTTAATATTTCGAATAAATGCTGCTCTTTTGAGCATTCTCTCATCATAGACTCCTGAATAAAAGGTACAACAGTTTCCACAAAAAATTCAAAATAATAATAATTTAACCGTGGGGATAAGAAATGTTTGTTGAGCATATTAGAATGATTTCTGAAGGATAATGTGACACTGGAGACTGGAGTAATGATGCCTGCTGAAAATTCAGCATTGCATCACAGGAATAAATTAAATTTTACAACAGAAAACAGTACAAAAATAATATTTCACAATATTACTGTTTTTACTGTATTTTTAATCAATTACATGCAGCCTTGGTGAGCACGTGTACATATGTTAATTTCACTGTTTATTCATTAATTGCCATAATATTCTGTGTTCTGTCTCAATTTTTCAACTAGTAGCATGACAATGCGGCATACTGTATCATGATTTATCCAAAAGGTTTTCCCTTCTTCCAGCACCCACAATCTATGCAATATTTTAGATGCTTTTGTCCCATTTACTCACAAAACATCCCATTTCCAGTTCAATTCATCCGTGTCTGCCTGATGCATTCATCATTTCAGTGCAGACGCCCTCTGTTAATGCTGCGTGAAAATGTTGTGTTTGTCAGTAGCCAGTTTGGGGATGGCTGCTTTGTCCTTTTATAGACTGATGTATTATACATCCTTTTATTTACTTACATGATGTGCTGGTAATGTTGTCCACAAATGTCTGTCTTATATTTTTAGGATCGTAATCCTGAAATAAGACATGGTTTTCCAGTAATATACTGTGTTTAATCAGATATTGTGCTATGAAAGCACCATTTAAGCAGTGAGTATGCTAGAGCCACCCTCTAGAGGAAGCGATTTGCAATCACATGTTAATAGGAAAGCTGTTAGGAAGTGGATCTTGCTATAAAGGCCGAAAAAGCAGCATCCCACTCATGTTCTTAGGAGATATTTTGTCAGGCCTTTGTTAGTTTTATGTTTGTGTGTGTGTGCTACTTTGTTGTGATCGAGAGCCGCTGAACAAACTGAAATGGCAGGTCTAATGGATATAAAATCAGTTTTACACACGTTGAATTAAAGTGCCTAGGATTTTTTTTGTAATTAATAATTTAAGGGAAAAATGGAAGTAAAGTAAATAGTATTTAGTTTATTTACACTGTGATCTTTCTATAGCCTCCAGTACTGCACTCCAAAGGCAAATCACCGTTATTACATGCATTGAAAGGGTAGTATTTCCTTTGGTTGTTTGTTTTTTAAATCTGAGCATGTTTGAGCCAAACCTGTCTGTCACTGGACGGATCATATTCTAACAGACCCCATTTCACTCGTAACTCAATTGTGACCAATACGGTTTTATTTTTCCACACCATATTATCCAGGATAATGTGTCAGCTCGGTGGACCATTTCAGCTGATAGCCAGTCATCTAGCTTTATTTTTCAATTAGACGTTTCAGTTGTGTTTTTTTTTTTATTATTATATATATCATAAAATAAATTTCCTCTGATCTCTTCTGAGGAGTTCAGCATATTGAGCTACAGTAATCTTCCATTTATGAATTATGATAGGAAGGCTGGGAAGGACGCCAGCAGCAGATAAGGGATACGGCTGTATTGTAGAGCTGCTGAAATCATATTAGCATCTTTCTTAAAGATATACTACTACAAATATAACTAATTTCTAACTGATGTCCTTTGAGTACAAGCTGTCCTTTTCATGTGCTCCCTTGCTATGCTTTCTCTCTCTCTGTTTGTACCTGTTTTTTTTTTTTTTGTTTTTTTGTTCATTTGCAGGTGACATTCAGTTTATGTATGAAGAATTTTGTGTGTTAATTGTTGAATTATCATGCACTTTCACAAATATACAAATATATTTTCTAAAATCACTGAAAACGGCAAGTTATTTATTTCTGGGTATTATTAATACAGAAAGATCATCTTTTTTGTTTCCACATTTACAAACACAAAGGATATGGTTAAAACAAAAAGAGTATAACATGAAAAAATACATAACTCATCATTATAATAATTAAAAAACATATAAAGAGTTGACACTTCTGTTCTACTCTAGAATAAACCGTATTAATCTGAAACAAGTTATTTCAGAGTAATACTGTACTGTTTAATTCAGTTGTTTGAGTCTAAATAAACATTTTAAATTTGCTTATGCAAAACAGTAGGTGCTATTTGTCTGAGATATTGAACCGTGACATGATTCCTGGAAACGAGCGTTCCCTGGTGGGAATTCCTTTTCTGTGGGATATCCTTACCACAATGTTTAATACAGAACACAAAGAGGATCAGCTTTACTCTGGACACTGAAGGAATCCCTCATGTGTCAAGTTTGATGAGTCTGATCAGACAAATTAATAGAATTGATATAAAATATAGAACTACTGTATAATGTGACACTGGGGTCATCTGAATGAGCTACTATAATTGCGTTTTTTTTATTTATCATACACACACAAAAGTTAAAGAAAATCAGTTTGGTTTATTTGAACAAGCTTTATTCACTTCTATAAGAAGAATAAATCAGCAAAACCATAATAGCATTGTCATTTTTCAGGTATGTATAACATGTATATTATATAGCCTATAAACCCCAATCACTACAAAGATTGATTTGGCTTTTAAAAAACATTTCAGAAATTGTTCTTAAACTCGTGCATTACTTCGACGTTACAATATTAAGAGCATTTTGCTTGCAATAAATTGTGTGAACAGATTGCAGTTCAGAAAAAGGCATATCAATGAACTTATCTAAAGTGAAATCGTGCAAACAGGTGATTTTTTCTTTGCACACGTACAGCCTAATGAGATTGTGACTGGTTTTACAGTTAATATGAAGAGCCTGTGATTATAAGTGCTCGGGCAGCTCTGTTTGAATAACATATTGATATTTTGCAAAATTGGCACTTCCTTGAAAGAGCTTGGATTGCGGCACTTGTCACGTGGCGTTATAGACTGGCAGAAGCTGGTTCTTATCTGTAGTTAAGCTGTTGAAAAGAAAGGGTCGTGAGTCTCGGTATAAAACAGCACTTAATACTGGCAAATAAACAATGTTAACACCGTTAAAGCAATTTTATGTAGTTATGTGTATTTTGGCATCTACAGTTAAGTGAGTGGAATTCGCAGTTGTAAATAGCAAGTCTCAACTGACCTTTTGCAAAGACCCACCCCCCTTAGTTACTGTTGCTATGTCCGACAAG